TATTCAGCCTCTTATGCTCTGTTTTCTTTTTTACATATAATCTGAAGTCTGTTGTATTTGTTTATGAACGTGAGAAACATAGCTATAACAACAGCTGCTATTATGAGATGTTGAAGGAGTGAAACCTCATCTTGAGTGAGTTTTGAGAGCGTCTCGAAATGTAAGCATGTGTCATTTGGAAACACTGGAGCTGAAACAGGAGATCATTAGCTGTTAAAGACAGCTGTAAACTTTCAGAGAGTTCTACTGCGAGGAAGCAAATAATCTCAAAACATATTGGCTTAGGTTTGCCATAAACCTACATAATTCAGTACGGGTAAGAGAGAGAAAAAAAATAATAACTTGAACCTATGTTTGGTACACTCTCAGAAAGCTGTCACTGGGATAGTACCTTCTCAAAAGGTACAAATATGTACATTTAGGTACGTATATGCACCCTTTAGGGGTAAATAAAGTACAAAAGTGTGCATTTTGAAAAGGTACTGCCCAAGTGACAGCTTTTGTATTTTGAGAACAAACTGACAGTTTGTTCTTCAGGTTCAAAAATAAAACTGTAACGTGGTTTTGTAACTTCATAAAACAAGAGCTCTTCATCACTGCCAAGCTCCATCACACCAACTAAAACCATATCAGAGCTTTAACAACCATCTAATGTTTTGCCACTGTGTTCAGGTGAGATATCTGCACCTGTTTACAACAACAGATCTCTAATGATACCCGAACTAGTTTCTGAAATTGCCATCCATCATCAAATTGCTGGACTTTCATTTAGCTCATGAAATAAAAATTGAGGCAATGACATCATGTGAGTGCTAATGGTTCAGATATGGATCAACACTACTGTATGCTCCACTACTGATGTCTAAAACCCACTGCATAACCCTGAAAGATACAGCCCAGGATACACCAAAAGCAACGCATTACACCCAACATATATTATGCTCAAACTATACTCTTCATACACGACATCAGGGCCGTGCAGAGACCTTTGGAGGGGCAGGTGCTCAAAGTATAAAAGGGGCACATGGAGCACGGCTTTTAATAGGGCTGTGCTCCTTGCTGAAACATGTATCGAAACGGATGCTTCTGTATTGATAGCAGCAAATGCCGTGACGCAGTTTTGAAAAAGAAACACAGAACAGAAAATACCATTTTAAGTTTAAAAGTTAAATAAATAGTTCTTTGCACCTCTTAATCACTCTGAAAATAGAAACGGAATTAAATTAGGCCTATTATTATTATTGAGTTTACAGGGTATGGTGGTTTTGCTGTTGTAAACACTACTGTTGTTGTTGTAGAAAAAATATTTCTGTCTTATTTAAAATAGAATTATATTGTAATCCTGTTCTGAATTTATTCATTTTTAAAATTATAATGATGAGAAAATCAGTATAAGCCTGTTTTATCAGGGTTGTGATAATTATTTTTAAGGCACTCTACGTTTTTAAAATAAATACTGTAATAAAAAAAGTTCAAAGTAATAGTTTTTTAGTCAGATAACATAAAGACACCCTTTAAACTTTTCCCAATCAAATAGCATCCGGCTATGGCTGTAGCTGAGCTGAATAAAAAGCAGAAAAAACGTGAAGACAATAAACACGATTGTGAAAATATACGGTTTATGTGTGTTTTTCAAGTTATCTCCAGGTAATAAATAAACTTTATGAATAATGCAGTACTGATTGACATATCATTTAGTAGCCTATAGAAACTATAAATTTCCTGCCTTATTCTGTGATAAAAATGGGGAAAAGGTGCTCGTAGTAGCCTTTATAAACCGATCATAAAATTGTCATTAGGAAAATATTGAACAAAAATATTATAGCCGCTTGCTGCAGCTAACCTTACTTCCACAGGCTACACACAGCAATATAAACAACAGCTGTGCATGCTCTATTCACGCAATTCTTGTATAATATTAATAATTTAATAATATAAGTATACAAGCAGACCGCTCTGCTGAGAACTCCCCTTACCGGCAGCCGCAGACCTTATGAAGGCATCTTGGTAGTGCGCTACATTAAAGGTGTCTGAACGTGAGGGATAGTCCCTGATGAGATCGTCAGGTGAAAGGTCATCATCATATAATTTTATTTACGACTAAATTATTATTCATTAATTTTACTAATAGTTAGATTGGGCAGGGCTTCACAAAATGGAGTTTAATTAAAAAAATAATAATAATTGCCTTGACAAAAGGGCACTTTGGCCATCAAGGGGAAAAGGGGCAAGTGCTCAAGCACCTATCGCACCCCCCTCTGCACGTGCCTGCCCGACATATAAATCATCACAAACAAACCTATTCTCTTCATGGAACAAGACAATTTAAGCAAGATGGTGTTATACTGATTTTAGTTCAATAAACAAGATGATACTTATGAACAACTTGCAGTTTAGACAATATTAGCCTACCAGTTACTTTGCCTGTTAATTCGTTGTTATGACGTCCCACATTCAAGTCGTGAACATAACAGGGAAGTAGCCTACACTAAACGAAAGAGCTGATATATAGGCCTACCTAATTTAAGTATTTTCATGAGAAAATGATTGAAAGATTAATTTCAGAAATTAAGTCCCCGATTTAGGCCACTCACAGCAAAGTTCCCTTATGTAAAAATAAGTTAGAAAAATCTGAACAACTGTATAATGTTAGGAAACATCCCGGTATAATGTTAGCAAACACTTCTGGAAGCGGCTTTTAGATGAATATGTACATATGTGCTGTGCGCTTTCCTCTCAAAACCAAAATAAACACAACTAAAATGACAGCGGTGAGAAAACAGCAGTTAAGAAAGCATCTGACCATAGCGATGTGGATATGTTTGCATGAGCTCTGAAATTCAGCACTCCAGTGACAACGTCACATTTATTTATATGGCACTTTATGCAAAAAGATTGCTATGGGGAGAATCACAACATTACTAACTTTTTTTTGGAAGTAAAAAAAGTAAATAAAAATCGGACAAAAAGACGAAGGTTCAAGATTGTGTACTTAACGGCTTTAGAGAGGGAAGGAACTACAATGAAGCATCGCAAATGACATTAATCAAATTAAAAATTAACTATTAATTTAAAGTTTTTGGTTGTATCTATACAAACAATATTTTAAGCTCTTTGCAAAATATGCATATATATAGCATGGTAATGGATATGACAATGTTAATGTATTTGGTCTTGGATAGAATAGATCTGCTACGCTGCTGCTGCTGAGTTGCTGCTGCTGTTAGTTATTGCTGTATTTTTAGATTATGGCTGCTGCTGCTGCTGCAAGCAAATACAGGAACTTGCTACTGTCAATACATAAGCCGATATGGTGCTGTGAGTATTTAAGACATACTGCTGCTGCACAAATAGCATATAAAATAACCCGTAGCAGATCTATACAGGTGGAGCTGGGGAAGGTGGAGGGTTTCAGAGGAACTCTGAAAGCGTGCTGCAATGCTCAAGCGAATGCTAATCAGCCATTTAAATGTAAAGCAGCAAGCTCATTGGCTGCGTATGCAACATGAACCAATCAGCTTGTGACAAGTCGTTTAGTGCTAAGAATATCATCAGTTACGTTAAGGACCCATAGCCTGCGCCATCTAGAGTTTCATGACAGAACTTGGTATAGGCCTATATATGCGTTTTATTATGTAATCGACTTGGACCAGTGGTCGTTCGATATTGTTCTAAATGACGTCACGCCAGTTCATTCTTCGATTTCACTTGAAGGATAGCAGGGCCTTTACAATTATAATTTATTAGTAAAATTGGAGTGGAGAGGTTATTAGATTTATTGACTAATTGATTGATTAATCATTAGTTAATTCATAGTTATCAATTAGTGTTTAGTTGTAGCCATACAGGCTGTTTACATGACACCGTTTTCAAATTGGCCATTCATTTAGGCGACAGGACAACAGCGTTTTAGTGGCCTGAAAATGCAAACTTTTGAAAAAGGTTTCAAAGTGCAAGTTTTTGAAAAACATACTGTTATCGCCTCCGTGTGAACTACAAAAACGCAAAATTGTGAAAACAGTCATGTGCATGCAAGTTCAGTTCATAGGCGCAAGTATCTTTACAAAATGACATCACCAACTTCTGGCCTGGTACGCACACTGAGTTTTAGTCGATTTGCACAGATCCGTGTGAACGGGGACCGTTTTGACAACGTTTTCTTCTGTATGCGAAACTTCCATTTTGTAGTCCATTCCCTGATAGCACACGTACATCACAGAGACGTCTATTTGACGTCTGCATTTACATCTGCAAGACATATTTTTTAGAGTGTTTGCTCGTCTGCAATACTATAGGAAGTTTCCTATCAAATGTCAAATAGACGTTTAGAAAATGTTTTTAAGATGTTTATGATTTAGAATGAATGTAAAACTGACATCTTGGGGACGTCTATCAGATGTTTGTACACAGCAGATGCTTTCCAGATGAAACAGACATCTTGCAGACGTAGAAATGTAGAAAACACTTATGCTTCGACTTTCAAAAATACTGTACTTTCTCATCATTTGCACATGGCGAACAGAGACAAACACAGTGATGATAAAAGTCCCAATGCTGTTGGACTAAATATCAGCTCTCTCTTAAAAAACAGCGTTCATCTAATCAGATTCGAGGACCAGAACTAACTGTAGTATAATGGTTCACAACAAGCCACAATAAGAAGGCCATCCAAGCATCAACAAAACCCAAAACATCAACAATTTCGCAAAACAGAAAAAGACTTCAGCAATAAAAGCATCTCAGACAACTTGAACCTGCCCGAAGGCCCGTGAAAAAGGACTAATCGAGCGCAAAAAAGTAGCGCATGACCCATATTATGTAGCTCCATTTGAAGTGATGCTGCCGCATGACCTTCTATAGGCCACAAATACATCAGCAGGGAGAGTTTAATGCATGTATCCCGGCACTGTAATGGGCATAAGGGGCAGACAGCATAACAAAGCGCCGCATTGTTCATTCTGCTCGAAGGATATGCCGTCTGTCCCTTATGCCCGCGTCACATGCACCTGTCCCGTCCGTATTTGCCCTCTCCAAACTCACCCAAAATGCCCGCTGATGTGGGCTGAGGGGCAGCGCTGTGCTGCTGCTGCTCTGGCCGCTCCGCGTCTCCCTGAGCTCGGTGTCTGTGCCGCGAGCTCTCGCTGTCGCTGCTGCTGATGTTGCTCGCCGATGATGCAGCAGCGGCCGCCGCCGCCGTGTCGGGCATAATGCTGCCGCCGTTTTAGCGGGGAATGGATGTAGAAATGGGGCAAGTGTGTGTGGATACACACTGGCTGGGTTAAATGAAGGTGAGGGTGAAGTGAAGGTTGTTGTGAGTCATCCTGTTTGCAGCGGGATGCGAGGAGAGACCGACTGCGGCGTGAGGAGGAGTACTATGGTGGAGGAGGGACAAAGAAGAGAAGAAATACACCGTCTCTCTCTCTCTCTCTCTCTCTCTCTCTCTCTCTCTGCTTTCAAACACTCAGATCCAGATATAGTCTACTCACACTGCCACCCTCTCATAGCAGACATGCATTAGCTGGCTAACCTCAGCAGGAGTGTATTGATGTATTGATGTGTACATTAGAAATCAAACCTCAGCATTTAGAATGTCAAAACTCTTTTAGGCTGAAGGTTTAGAGATTTGCTGACTTATGCAGACCATGTTATGAAATGCAATATATTATCACAGTATTTATTTATTTATTTATTTGTTTTGGCCAAAAAGTTCATTGTAAAAATTATTTTCCAAGTTGTTGATAAAAAGATTACTGGATGTTTTGCAAGAAAATACTACTTGTTGTGAATACATGTCTTCCTCTGTATTTCTGTGGGACTAAAATGAGACACAGACTGTCTGAAAGGATGAAGCAGGGTATTATTTATTAATTAATGCAAAAAATATCTTCCCAGCTGAATATTTCAGAATGGCGTAACTATTATACCTCTCTCTGAACAAAAGAGCACAATTGAAGGCATATAACAGGGAGGTTTTCTCCATAATACAGGCAGATCTGCAGTCAAGAATAATTATTCCCATACAGTCTAAAATATAATTTATATTTAAATGGTGATTTATATTAACATTAACCAGATTTTGTTTTATTTAAATACAGTTCTGCATTTAAATTCCTGTAAGATATTATAAATAAATAAATGTGTAATAAAACACTTGTGATCCAATTGTATATTGTCAGAACCCAAATGGTCTTATTACCACAAATGAATCTAAAATGATAAACACAATGCATTTTGATGAAATAGTGTAGAATATAAAAAGACCGTTAAATGTTAAAGAATTGATCATTTTATGAAATAGCTTTCACAAGCAATCACCTCAGCTAACAGTAACTCATTACTTAAACATGCACTCTTCACAGCCTCACTACCATTAAAAAGCCAATGGCGACTGCACATCGGCAGTTTGATGATCTATGGGTATTTAAACTTGTTCAATATTATTAGAGCTGCCCGAACACCTAGCCTTTAATAATTAGACAGGAATTATAAAATGTTGCATGAAGTAAATCACACTTTTAAGTCCTTATTAACTTTTACTGGATGACAGCATCAACAGTCATTGCTTGCCGTTTTGTGTTCAACGAAACATTAAAAACATTTTTGACTGAACAATAAGTTATAAAAACTGCATGTATAATTATACAGAAATAAAAAAAAGTTAAATGTAATATGTAATACTCCAGGATTGCTGACACTATAGAATTAGATTATGATCATTTCAATTTAACACTACGACAGCTAGCCTAATGTCTCAAAATACTAGTGTCACATGGACAGAATCGCACAAGGGAGGAGTTTTATTTGATTGACAGTGAAGCTGGACGACGCGGACCAATCAAATTCAACCGAACGGATTCAATAACAAAGCGCCTGGGAAATAACTGTCCTAAACTCACGTGGAGCGCCTTTCATGACAGCGGCGTTAATAATAATGATTCAGCTGGGCTATTGATACTTTAATCCAGTATATCAGGTCATTAACATGCACTTGGTTAGTTGTTGGAGAAGAAACGCCGCTGTCATAACTGCTAAGCTCTCTTGCATTTGCAACCCGTTTAGGTTTCTGTTGGAGTGAGTGATAGGCACAGTAAAGGTGACTGGTTTGTGTTTGGCAGGTCTCTTCCAGGGAAAAGGCTCTTGTGTTCTGTTAGGTGGGAGGATGACTCTGTCTTCGCCCTGTCGTCGGGTCAGACTCAGGGCAGGTGTGGGGTGGCGGTGGTTCGGGTCAGTGGTCCGGCATCAGCGCTCGCTGTCCGCAGCCTGACCCGGGGTCTCCCCGCTGCTCGCACCGACAGCCTCCGCAGCATCACACACCCTCAGACCAGAGGGCTGCTGTACCTGTGGTTTCCAGTCAGGTCCGATGGCATGTTTTAAATAGGGAATAGCCCGTTTTTCACGTGGGATCCTGTGATGAGTGTAAAAAACAAATCACAAGTCCTTCTAAGTCCTAAAGGGTAGATTTGAATCATTTTAAACGTTTGTTTTGTTGTATCTTTAAATATATTTTCCTAATTTTTTAAAGAATAGCCAGAATTACATTTAGGGTCTCTACCCAGACTTCATAACTTCCCCCAGCACAGCAGACCATTTGAAGATGAGCATTTTTTAAACATGTAATTTTAAATATGCATGCATTATGATTTGAGAGCAGCTTTGTGTCATTATGTGTTGAATAAATAATTAAAAAGGAAAAAGAAATAAAAATAATAATAAAAAATTGACTGTTAATTGTATTTGCAAGTGCAAGGCTTATTCAACTTTTTCTCTGAAAACCTAAAAATGTCATTACTGTCACACAATAATAAAAATACACACCATCACGCATTCACTTGAAGATCTTTATTGCAGGGCATGAGATAAATGTGTTAATGTTGTTGAAAGGTTAAAGAAGTTTAATTTATTTTAAGATTGTAGAGTCAGAAGTCCCTGAGTGATTATGCAGTATATTTGTTTATGAAAGATTATGAAATATACACTACTGATCAAAAGTTTAGGGTGAGATTTTTTCACCAATGCTGCATTTATTTGATAAAAAAATTACAGTAAAAACAGTAATATTGTGAAATATTATTACAATTGAAAATAACGGTTTTATATTTTAAAATGTTTAAAAATGTGATTTATTCCATTGATGGCAAAGCATAAAATTTCAGCAGTCATTACTTTTTGCTGCCTAAGAAAAAAATTTTATTATCAATGTTGAAAACAGTTGTGCTGCTTTCTAATTTAGTGGAAACTAAAACGTTTTTTTCAAAATTCTTTCATGAATAGAAAGTTCAAAAGAACAGCATTTATTTGAAATAGACATCTTTTGTAGCATTATAAATATCTTTTTTGTCACTTTTGATCAATTTAATGTATCCTTGCTTAATAAAAGTGTTGATTTCTTTAAAAAAAATATTTCTTACTGACGCCTGAACGTTTGAACAGTAGTGTATATCGAATTTACAGTTACAACAGTATATAAATTACGTATTAATTCTGTTATGACACATTCCACTCTTCACACTTTCAGGTCCTGGTAGTTTCACAGGAGAGGACAGTGCAGAGTTTCACATTCACGGGGGTCCTGCTGTCATTAGTGGAGTCTTACAAGCACTTGGTATCTGGGAGAGAGATCAACCAATATTTTCCCGAATTGTTCTGAAATGTTTGTGTCTGTAAACCCTCTATATGCATTTTATCATCAGAAATCTATTTTGCAAACAGCTAGTTGTTGAATCAGCATTTTAACACTAGATGGCAGTATCTGTGTTATGCTTGGAAATATCTAGTTTTTATTTAACATGCATGTAGCAAGTATTTACTCATTCGTTTCTCCTTTTAAGTGAAGTAGTATTTTATTAACTTATAGCCTTTATCTGAAGATATTATAAAATGTAAATGCTTCTAAATAGTGACGTGATAAAGTTAATTTTATTTTAAAGATATCTTATTTTGTGTGTTTCAGGGAGTTTGCCAGGTCTGTGGCCTGCAGAAGCGGGTGAGTTTACCCGACGGGCGTTCTATGCTGGAAAATTGGACCTTACTGAAGTAGAGGGTCTAGGTGACCTGATCCATGCAGAGACAGAAGCACAGAGGCGACAGGCTCTCCGACAGATGGCAGGAGACCTGGGCCGCATTTATCAAGACTGGAGTGTTCGGCTTAAACGAGTGAGTAAAGGGTTGATCAGGAATATCTCTTGTTTTTAGAACTTCTTTATGGCCCAGTCTTTGTCATCTGACCCACTCCAAAGAGAAAGGAAACATTGAAATCGCATCATATGACCCCTTTAACATTGTTTTCCACTTGCTGCCTTTGTGTTACAAAAATATTGCAGCAGCAACCTAAATTGCTTTAACATATTTATGAGTAAAAGGGACAGGAAATTCCAGACAGATGCTATACACATGCATATTGTGGGAACTGTTAAGTGGCGTACGTGTTTGACTCCCATCCATTAGGAAATCATCATTGCAGCAAACAAAAAACTTGTTCGTTTAGTGAGCAGAACACATAGGATTGCTCCAGAGGAACCGTCCCTGCAGCGCTGTATTATGCTTGTTACTAAAATTTTTTTTTAGTCGGGTCTACACTACTCTATTTTTTTTAATTCAACAAGGATGCATTCAAATATAAAGTTCTGTCACAAAACTCTAGATGGCGCAGGCCGATAGGTGCTAACTCAATCTGATGTAATCACTTCATCATTCACATGGCACAGCTGATTGATTTCATTCACATCAGCAGCCAATGAGCTTGCTGCTATACATTCAAATACTTGTGCTAGTGCTTGCTGTAGCAGTTGCAGCGCGCTTCAGAAATATAATTTTGTAATATATATATATATTTATATATTAGAGGGCCAAAGATGAAAATGGATTTTTAGGCATCAAAACAATAAAAGTTTAATACAGCTTTAAATTTATTTATTTTTCTGTACATTAGAATGTGTCATGTTTTAAAAAAAAATTCTGAGCAAAAACTAATGAGTATCATACATTTTTACCATGATTTACAGAAGACACCCATTAAAATATAATTCAGTCTAATAATAGTTTAAATACCAAAAAAATCTTGTCAGGTATATTTAGAAGAAGATGGCTTTGTCATTTTAAATCTTTACCAATCTTTGCCCGCTATCCTTCAAACCACTAGGTTTTACCCAAGAAGATTTTAATTATTTACAATATAATACATTTTGTAAGATCACTTTTCCTTTTATATATTTTAATGAGTACAGGTCAGAATATATTCAAATAGAAAACAGCTATTTTAAATTGTAATAATATTTCACAATATTACTGTTTTTACTGCATTTTTGCAGCCTTGCTGAGTATAAGAGACTTCTTTCAAAAACACAAAAAATCGCTAGCTGTTAAGGAGTATGTAAGGAACACGGCACCCAGTTTTCTCATTCTTCTCCTCATTTTGTAATGCAAAAAATGAATAAAGTTTGACTAATAGAGCAGTTAGAGAGATCTGAAACACTGGAGCACATCTAACTAAACGCATTCAAAAATATACATATGCTATTGGTAATAGGAAAAGTCTGTGAGGCTGAATGGGCTGTTAATGTGATTTACTGTGCAAGCCAGTAGAACACTTGTCATTAAGTGTGTTCATCATGAGAGGTTATTGTTTTTTTTTTTTTATAAGTTCTTTTAAATAATTCCAGGATTTACTGCTAGATTGGGCAGTGTTGTCTCTCTATCACGGATGGTGTCCATCTATTGTTTGTGTGTAAGAGCGTGTTGATTGCCTGAGTCAGTGAGGAGCAGAGAGCAGGAGACAGGACATCCTTAGCAGGGTTTGCGCCAAGCCGTCAGAGCCCTCAGGACCCAATGTGATGTCGGCTAATGGTTTGTGTGAAGACTCCTGGAAGGAGGTTTTTGGTAACAAGCACCAGGGTTTTTTTTAAGTGTAATTCTGGAAATGAACAAGATTTCAGGATTTTGAAAAAAATTAAAACAAAGAAAAGTTATGGTACAAAAAAGGTGACAGATGGTCAGATGTTTAAACACAGCATGCCCTTTAGATCATTCTCAAATTATGCTGGATGATCATCACGCTTTGAATGTGGACCTCATTCAGCTGCTTTCATTAAACCAAACAGCCACGTACTAAATACTAAGAAGTTCTTCTGAGCTTCACGGTAGTTTCTCAAACTTTTCACTTAAATTATGTTGAAAACTAATTGAAACAATTAGTTCTGGTCCTCAAATTGGATTGGTTGAATGGCTTTCCAAGACTGTTATGCGAGTTGGTACAGTGGTGACAAAGTGAGTCACTGAATCTTTCACTCAACCATTTTGTTCAAAAATACAAATTCATTCAGGTACAAAATAAAAAAAGACAGAAACTTGGAAAATCACGTCTAAATTTACAGTGCAGTTCAAACTAAAAAATCTGGTAAGTTATGATAATGTTTTTAAAGTACCGTATTGACCCGAATATAAGACGATGTTTTTTTCTGCCTAAATGTCCTCATTCAGATGGGCTGGGCTACCTGTTTTTTTTTTTTAATGGTATATCAAAAAGTGTTTTTTTTTTTTTTTAATGTGATTGTTGGTACATTTTACCATTTTTTACCATACTTTCAAAACAAAAATTAAAATAGGAAAAATATGCAATATGAAAATAATTGAAGACAAAATGTGTTTTACTGAGAAAAAACAAGATTTGGTTTTTAAAAAGCCTTTTTCCAAAAGGGGGGTCGTCTTATAATTAGGGTCGTCTTATATCCGGGCCAATACGGTAAGTCTCTTGTGTTCACTGAGGCTGCATGTTGATCAAAAATACAGTAAAACATTTATATTGTGAATTTTTTTTACAATTTAAAATAGCTGTTTTTATATTTTAAGATGTAATTCATTACTGTGATGCAAAGCTGAATTTTCAGCATCATTTCTCCAGTCTTCAGTGTCACATGGTCCTTCAGAAATCACTCTAATATGGTGTTCAAGTAACATTTATTATTATCATCAGTGTTGAAAGCAGTGTTGTGCTGCTTACATTTTTTATAGAAACCATGATGCCTTTTTTTTTAAGGACTCTTTGATTTATTTGAAATAGAAGTCTTTTGTAACAAAGTAAAAGCCTTTACTGTCACTTTTGATCAAATGAATGCATCCTTGCTGACTAAAAGTATTAATTCCTTTTTCCCAAACTGGACATTAACTTTACATTCATGTTAAATATATAGATAATTTGTCGAACTGTTGTCCAAGCTTTAGTGAGTCTCTAAATAACATTCGGTGGAATTATGACTAAGTTGTTATATTTGTGTGTGTGTCGTCAATCTAGTGCTTGGCGCATGTAGAGGCATTCATCGACTTCAGTGAGAGGACGGAATCTTAAATGACGGTACGTCTCCTCAGATGGGTCAGTATCGTCACCCATTCATTTCCAGAATGATTTGTGAGACTTTCCTGTTAGTATTGACCTCAGAGAAACCACAGCAGCTGTTGAGAGAAGGAATCAAAACCATTGAAAGTCACATTGAGAGGCCATTGGCGCTGTCGTAGTGCCTGAAGAATACTGTATGCACAGTGAATGCTCCTGTCATCATTTGTCCAACTTCTTTCAAATGTTTGGGTGCTATATTTACATTAGAGTCTGTTCCTCTGCAGAATAGAGGGATTTCAGTGTGCGTCAAAGCACAAGTCTGTCACAGACCATCTCCTTCCTCTGAGAGTTACGGACGGGCTGTAAAGTCACTAATAGAGGTCATGAAAAATAGTGTTTACACTGACACACTTCTAGTGTGCCAGAGCTCTATGAATTTGTATAATGTTCAGTACAAATGATTTGTTTATCCTCGTCTTTTAAAGATAAAGCCCTTCTGTTATTCTAACCTTGTGCGTCCTTACAGGCATTTTTGACTTTTTCATTTTTTAAATCATTTTGACACTTAGTCATTAATGCAAACAGCATAAAATTTGCCATAAATGTGTGTTTTTATTGGAATTGTAGTATTTCACTCTCATTTTCTTTCATAAATCTGTTTTACACTAGGTACAAAAATAGTTACACTCAGGACCTTAAGGACAAAAAATGTCCCATTTAAAGCCCATTAAAAATGGCAATATTTAATCCCAGTGCCATTTAGTCATAAAGTCATGCATTCTTTGTTAATAGACTTTCATTCTTTTGTCAAGGCTTCAAAATTTGGACTGTTTTTATTTTTAATTTATAGCACCATTTTCTCAGCTTTGGCCATTTGAGCAAATACTTGTTTTTAATCCTGTTTTCTACAAAAAAAAAAAAGGGCAACTGAATTGAAGTTATGTACTTATAATAGTGTGGATGTATTGGTATGAATATAAGAGTGCGGTTTGTTTGTGTGTACTGTGAAATTTGTGTTAAAGTTTATTTAAAACAAATTAGTGATTTTTTTTTTTTTAAATCTGACACAGCACAAAATAATAATGCATCAAAATTAATACTGTTTCTAGTCATTGACTTATCCAAGACTGTAATAATAATAATAATAATAAAAAATCTGCTTAGCATTTAGTGTATGGAACATAATTGATTTATGTGTTCTTTTTTTCATTAAAAAACAAAAACAACAACAACAGTGGCATTATGTAAACAAACTGGCATTTAAAAGGTTAAAATCCTGAAAATAAATGCATTTTTGGTAGTTATAATCAGGGCTGATGTTGGTAGCAAGATCTATGTCATTGAAAGCGGAAAAATTATAAAAAATAATAATGAAATAATATATAATATTTTTATGATCTTTTTGACATAGAATTTTTGTCCTCTAAGGACCTCTGTGTAACCTTTTTAAAAACATTGCATTTCAGTTTACAAAATAAAAAATGACCACATCAGCAATAAACTGGATGTTGTTTTTCAATGCATTGAACTGAGTGTTTCATCTGTTGCAGTGGACGCAGCTGTTCGGCAGCTGCAGACTGATGTGGAAAATCACCTTTCGGATCAGCGGAGAGGAGAGCGTCTGCGCAGCGGCGTTCAGGTGGGCATCGCCGGAAGCACCAACGCGGGCAAGAGCAGCCTGCTTAACATGCTCAGTAAGATCAGACCTACTATCTGTCTGAAATATTCAATTATGCTAAATCTGACATGCCAAATATAATGGCTTTGTGTTTAGCAAAATCCTTGCTTCATACAGAATAGTGGTTCTCAACTGGTTTTGCTTCAGGATCTGATTTTACACTTGATATTGTGTGTGTGTGGTGACCCAACAGCAGCATATTATCATACTGAAGTAAAAATAAAAACACTGAAATGTATTTATTTATTAATAATTAATTCATTTACGAATATAAGTATCTAAAAATATACAGAACTGTGCAAAAGTCTTAGTCCACTAGTATTTTCACCAACAAAAAATGGTTTTAAGTCAGTTATTTCTATCTTTTGCTGCAGTGTGTCAGTAGGAAATATCAGTTACATTTCCAAATATTCCTTTTCCCATTAATTGTAGTAATCCAGTGAGATTTTTGCTAGCAGAAGGAGTCTGACAGCAGCCAGTGCTGCACACAGAGATCTGATCTCAGCATCATCCAGTCTGTCTGTGATTACATGAAGAAACAGAACAAACTGAGACAGACTCAATCCAGTCTCCAAGACGCTTCAAGAAACCTTCCTGCAAAGCTACCTGAAAAAATATGCGTAAGTGCCCTCAGACAAAAGCTGTTTTAAACGTAAAGGGTGCTCACACCAAATGTTGATTTGATTTAGTTAAGAGAAAATAATTGATAAATAAAATCTATTTATGACATTATTTTTGAAAGCATCCTCACTTTACAGAATTCGTACACAAGTGCCTAAAACTTTTCACAGCACTGTAGCTTTGCAGGAAGGTTTCTTGAAGCGTCTTGGAGACGCTGCCACAGTTCTTCTGGATTGAGTCTGTCTCAGTTTGTTCTGTTTCTTCATGTAATCACAGACAGACTGATGATGCTGAGATCAGATCTCTGTGTGCAGCACTGGCTGCTGTCAGACTCCTTGTGCATACAAAAATCCTACTGACACACTGCAGCAAAAGATAGAAATAACTGACTTAAAACTTTTTTTTTTGTTTTTTGGTGAAAATACTAAGACTTTTGCACAGTAGTGTATATTTATATATTATTTAATTATTAAATATATTACATATATTTAATAATTAAATCATATAAACATATATCTTTATATATTATTAAATAGTAATATTTATTATAAATGTTATTTGAACAATTTATGTCATATTTTTGAATTATTTAGTTATTTAAAATCCAATGATTCACTGCACAAAGCACAGTTAGTACAAGCTGTTTCTCTTTGCTGCAAGTGAACCCACATTTAATCTGGATTGTATTTTCTTTTGTTTTGAATAGTTTTGTTCATCTGCGTAATTTGGCTTCTACCAAAACAACAGATGAGTAAGTGCTGAAAGATTTTATTGGCTGTACAGTCTTTGATGTCAGAGTAAAGGAAATGGGAAGTGTTTTGTTTTCCCTAATGCGTTATTATTTGCTTAAAAACTATGCACTATTATATTGTTAGTTGCTTTTACTTTTTTTTTTTTGCATTAGCATTGTTTTGTCCAGCTGTCTGTGACTCTGTCAGAGCTGATAGGTTGGGATCCTGCAATTAAAAACCACTGGGTTTCAAACTTTTTAATGCCAAATTAAACTTTTTAATGCCAAACTTTTTTTCTGCAAATGGAATGTTTTTGCAAAAAAGCCAGCTTTATATGTTCATGTATGAAAGCTGTGATAAAAATTGTGTGACTGTGTGGCAGATATTAATATTATAAAACAACCAAATTAAATACTTTTTTCAAAATTCAATAATTATATATATTTTTTTTCAGCAATGATGCATTAAATTGATCAGAAGTGACAGTAAAGGCATTTATAGTGTTACAAAAGATTTCTGTTTCCAAAAAATTGTGTTCGTTTGAACTTTCTATTCATAAAAGTATCTTGAAAAAAAAATGTATCACAGTTTCCACAAAAATATTAGTCAGCACAGCTGTTTTCAACATTGATAATAATCAGAAATGTTTCTTGAGCAGCAAATCAGCATAGCTGAATGATTTCTGAAGGATCACGTGACACTGAAGACTGGAGTAATGATGCTGAAAATTCAGCTTTGATCACAAAAATTATTTTAAATTGTAATAATATTTCACAAGATGATTCTTTTTTTACTGTATTTTTGATCAAATAAATGCAGCCTCAGTGACCATAAGAGACTTCTTTCAAAATCACTAAAAAAAATCTGACAACCTCAAACTTTTGATCAATCCCAAGTGATTATGTTAGCGTTGACAGCCTAAAAAAAAAATATATTTTTAAAAATAATTTTCCTTTCTAATTTTTTATGGATTCTATAGCATCTTTTGCAGCCCCCTAGACATTATTGTTTGTTTTTTCAACTTATAAGAAACATATTTTCTGCTGTTCTACTGTTCGTTCTTTTGTTCACACTAGCATTTTTATTCATTTGAGCAAGTTAGTCAGGGAGTACCTGAGTGAACAAAACACTGCATCAGATCAGGTTTCTAATCTGTATGTATGGGAATATCATGTTTTTACTGAAAGTGTCACATTGTCTTATGACAGAAGGCTAATGGTTGTGATTAATGCACATATTATCATGCACACTCATAAAGTGACACTGTACGGCCTTTAATGACGTTTATCTCTGACCTCTGACCTCTTCAGTAGCAGAAGGGGATGTCTGGATATCACCGAACTTCCTGCTCTGAATTACCCCACATTCATCAGGCCTGTTATTGTTTGCAGCGCTGGAACGCTGACTGATTTCTGGTGTCACTTCCTGTGTAGTGTATAATTAAATTAAGCATTTTGTGAATTAAAACCAAAATCGGAGTGAGAATTCAGCATGTCAGCATGAATTCAGCATTTGAAGAATTTGGTTTGCAGCAAACAAGAAATTTTAAATTGGTTGATTTTAGGATTGGTAAGCTATATAAACTCTTGAAGGAAGTTCACACAAAGAGCACTTGAGTGAAACTGGCCTCTTCCTTCCAGTGGACGTATGGAAATATACTCTAATACCAGACTCTACCAGAATGGCAACAACAGTGAAACGTTTCTTCAAACTTTCATCCTCTCAAGGGAGCTGTAGTGGTTTATTGTATTGATATATGTGCAGTTATTTTGGTTCAGCGCTGAGCAGCAGAGAACAAAAGACAAAAGGACAAGAGTTGCCGAAGTTGTCTTATTTAAGTATTTATTTAAGTGTTCAAAGTGTTTTATTATATAGTTATTCAATTCCATAGCTAACATGCCGTTCAGAATAAGACAAAAGATAATTAGATAATAGAAGCATTCAATGATACGGTGCCCTGCTAATGAATGAAACACTTACATTTTACAGAAAATAACATGCCTATATGTTTGCTTGTTAAATAAAAAAATAAAAAATAAAACTCATCAGACCATAATTTGACACTATGGTCTCTTATGCAGCAAATGGTTTATTTAATGATGATTTTATATTATAAAGAAATAATTCATTCAAGGGTACTTGCCAAATAAATAAATGCACATTAAATATTGATGGCATTCGTTATATATAAGATTCACAGAATGGCACGATTGACCGATCAGTATTTTAAAGGATACCGGTAACGTTTTACAATATGGTCTCATTTGTTAACCTTAGTTCATGCATTAACTAAGAGAAGTCTTTTACTTGCCATTTCAGAATTCACTTCCTGAAAGGATTGTTTATTTTGATAGAAACGTATAGAATTATCAGTTTTTAAGAGGATATTTTTTTAACAGGATTGATGCATAAATTAAGGAGACAACTTTTTAAAAGTTCTCCCAAAAATGAAAATACATCATTTACTAAACCTTCAGTTATTCCAAACCTGTAAGAATTTGGTTAATCTTCGAAACACAAATTAAGATATTTGTAATGAAATCTGAGAGGTTTCTGTCCCTCCACTGAAAGTCAAGGTAACCAAAACTTAAAGGGGTCATATGATGCGATTTCAATTGTTCCTTTCTCTTTGGAGTGTTACAAGCTCTTGGTGCATAAAGAAGATCTGTAAAGTTGCAAAGACTAAAGTCTCAAAACCAGAGATATTCTTTATAAAAGTTAAGACTTGTCCACGCCCTCCTAAAACGCCTCGTTTAAACACGCCCCCACATGTCTACGTCACGATGTGGGAAGATTTGCATAACACCGCCCAAATGTTCACGCAAAGAAAGAAGGCATAACTTTTATTCTCGCTGTTGCCGCCGCTGCCATGTCGTGGAGACGCTGTGTGCTTCGTTGTGAAAGCGAAACTACTTTGTTTGGTCTTCCAAAAGAGGACAATATCCGCTTCGTCATGCCTAGAGCTGATCCATGCTGGTCGCTGAGGAAATACATCAACTTCGCGCTGTGGATCGCCGGATCGGCTTTCACCGTGGACGAGTCCAGCCCGGGGTCGTCACATGTGGTTGCGCAAGCCCGCCGGCTACTCCTTCGTCGAATCCGCCGGCCGCGCCGTTCTCAAGCCGCTGTGTGTTTCGTTGTCTAGCCCCCAGCCTCTGCTCACTCTAGGCCGCCGTGTGTGACGCTGTGTTTCGTTGTGAAAGCGAAACTACTTTGTTGGCTTTCCAAAAGAGGACACGACTAGAAATCAGTGGTTAAGTTGTATTTACAACACTGTTCCAGAACACTTCAACCCAAATATTCAGATGTGTGCAGCACATTTTATGGAGGACTGTTTACTGATCCTGGGAGAGTTACGTTAGACTAAAATGCCGGCAGTTCTGACTCACGTAAGTACGTTTTCTTTTATCATTTGCCACTGATGATTCAAACGCGAGTTTTGGGCAGTAGAGTAGCACTTGTTGTTTGTCATTTCTCTAATCACAAATGCAGACAGGGTTTTATGTTACGCAGCACGATGCAATGCAACGCAACGCGTAAAAAGACACTATAAGTCATTATAATCAGTAATTATGTCCCCACTGGATGCAACAAATGCCTCGTTTGTAATGGGTTTTAATGTTTATGCCTCGTCGCTCCGGCCGGACACGGCATCAACAGTATGTGAGGGGCGTAACATTTCCGTCACACGCTTGAGGTATTCGGCCAATCACAACGCACTGGATAGCTGGCCAATCAGTGCACACCTTGCTTTTCAGAATGATGAGCTTTGTAAAAATCTACGTGTTTCAGAAAGGTGGGGCATAGAGGAGCAACAATAATGTACATTATGTGGAAAATAATGTGTTTTTTGAACCTTAAACCGCATAAACACATTTCATTACACCAAATACACCAAATAATGTTCTTTTTAGCAACGTCATATGACCCCTTTAAACCGCATAAACACATTGCATTACACCAAATACACAACATAATGTTCTTTTTAGCAACGTCATGTGACCCCTTTAAGAGATCCAAATAGGTCATTGTAAAACATTGTAAAATCGAGCAGTTGAATCCAATGTATGTCTTGTGAAGATATACGATTGTTTTATATTATGAACAGGTTTGATTTGTTCATTTAAAATTTAATTTGAACTATCCCTAATGGCACAAATGGGTGGGAAAAAGTCCATATACTCCATATAAAGTCCATATAGACCAAGCCACAAATTCATAGCTCATTTGACTTGGGCAAATAAATTTAACTTTAGTAACACAGGCATTTGCTCCCTTCGCTTTTGCTTCAAAGGTGGTGAACTTTGTTTTTGCACAACTCTTTCAAATCTAATTTTAAGCTTCATTTTTAGGAAGATGTTTCCTTATCTTATCAAAAAAATGCATATGTTCCTGCCCATGCATATTATTTGCCCATCACTGTAACACTGGTCTGTCAGATGTCACGTTTACAGGATGTGAACTTTGTGTTGTTTTTGTGTGCTTGCAATCATCACATTTTAAATATAGTAAATCTTGGTTTTCTCGAAGTCTTGTGCATCTCCCTTGGTAATACTTTTGCCCTCCATCCTGAGAAGTTAAAGATTTCTGAGAAGCCTGAGTCTAAGAACAAAATGTCTCACGGGCCCCCAACATCTCAACTCTTAAAGGAGAAATCATGAACTAGTTTATTGTCCTTGGAAGTGCAATATGAGCATTGAACTATGGCAAGCCGTTTTAACATTTAATCTGTTAAAATGTACTAGTATCTATTTTCATGCTATTAGTACTTATTTTCTGTCTATTAGTATCTGTTCCATTAAGTACCAGTACTTATTCATTAGCTACTAGTGCTTATTCTTTGGCTTCTAGTAACTTTTTAAAAATAATAAATCGTTTATTATTTACTAGTACTTATTTCATTAGTGACTAAAATCTTTTTAAACATTACTAGTTAGTATTCGTTATTTATTAAATACTAATACTTTTCATTAGATACTAGTTTCTGAGTCATTGAATATTGAGTATCTGCCGGTACTGAGTCCCGATCCGATACTTGTATATTCCTAGTTCTTGGTGCACACTTCAAGTTAACGGTATAAATGTATTAAAATCAATCCAGTTTATACAGGGACATGCAGATTTCTCAGGGACAGGGGCTCAAATATAAAAAATAATATATAGATATAATATATAAATAAAAAGAATTACT